CTCATCACGACCGATCACTCATCACGATCGATCCCTCATCACGATTGATCACGATCACTCATCAAAATTTTCCTGATTTACAAAAGTCTGAAATATCTTGACCAAGAGTTGATTGACAAATTGCAGACATTCAGTCAGAACAAATATGTTTTGTTTAACAAACCTCAATTGAAATCATCAAAATGGATATTCAATCAAAATGGATATTCAATCAAAACAAATTTGTATGTGTTCAACAAACTCTGATAAATAAAAATGAATATGAAACAAAATAATTTAAAGCATTTCTATATATTTTAGACAATTCATTATTTTTTTCCATGATGATCATAATACCTGGATATCACTTAGTACAGAGAAAATCAGTCATTTTTATGAACCATGATTTCAAAATTGTGGTATATGGAATGTATCTATTTAGCTGATTGCTCCATTTTCATTTTAAACTATATAACTGATTGAAAAACAAATATCTGAACCAGTATAAGGCACTTTATATTTCTCCCTAGAAACATCTGTATGAATATATAACTATACAGAATTAAATGATAAGTATCCAAGATCGACCGCTAGGCCTTTCTGTCTTCTAGGGCTTCTTCAGGCAGACTGATGTGTATTTGTCACCGTTGGTTATATGACATCATCAATATTTGCATAGTGAACAATTTTAGTGATGTCATCAATAAACAATCATAGTGGCGTCACATCTATATATGGAATAACTGTAGAAACATGTCTAATTTCTGGTGAAGAAATAATTAATAACAGGAGTTCTCAACATACAGCCTTTTGTACTTAAAGTGTGTCTGCACTACAGCACAACTTTGTAAACACCAGTCTGGAGAGTCCACTTCCCATATGGTATTAAAGCACAAAAGACTTCTTGAAAACTTAATTTTTTATACATGTACATATATATCCATAGAAAAAACAACAACATTCTGAGCAGCTCGCTAGTGCTTCCTTCTCTTCAGAAGATCCTCTGATGAAACTCTTGAGAGGTGAAAGCACATAATCTCTTTTTCATTTATACATATTCACCATCGCAAGGAATTGTGGTTTTTTTTTAAATATACATAATACAGTGCTTTAAGCCTTTACATTATTTTCCAACTGGCCAGTGGGTTCTATGTTAATTCAGTACATAACTAGCAAGTTATCCAGCAGGTCTGTTGGTATTTAAGATTATAAATTTATCTGTTTCTAAATATTTTAGCCACGACAAGTTGATTTACCAAAACAAATTATCACATCAAAATTAAACACTGAGTTTATGAAAAGTAACTTTCATGCAGAGATTAAAAAAGGATTTCTCAATATTAATGATAAATTTAACTCTGTCAACATTACTTATAGAAAACACTCAATAATTTTCTAGCTGTGTGCAAAATTGTATTATCTGGGACAAAAAGTAAGCTCAGGAAAATTTATTGAAAAAATTAAATAAAAATAAAGATAGAACCCAATTGGAAATACATGTAGCAAAATGTGACCAACATGTGGTACCTCACTGTAGATATATATTTAAGACTCGGTACAATTACATATATCTTTTTCCTTCGTATCAACACACATGTCACGGGACATTATACATGTGTATATAATTGGATATTTAATACAACAATACAAACTAAAAAGAAGAAAATGTATACATAAAATATCATCAAATCAGTACAATTCACCATGTAACTAGTAGTTCGACCTTCGGACGTCCTCGACACTCTAGGGGTAACACTCACTTTCTCTCTGCACCCCTGGAATATGTGATAGCAAAATCGAAGGCTCAGTGTGCACCACCACCAGCTTGTGGAAGAGATGAGGAGACTGGCTGGACCCCTTTGATGTACATGAAAAGAATCTCTCAGTCATGTAACGGTAACATTGACTGGCTCTGAAATGGGGTGTTGCTCTTCTGTAATCTTCAAAGGACATGTATCAGCCTGGCGATTGGTCAGGTTTTTTACCCGAGACCAATCATATAGCTAGCCACATGCTTCAGTTTTGCTATGACATATTCCAGGGGTGCATGGAGCAAAAGTGAATGTTACCCCTAGAGTATCGAGGATGACCTTCGGATCACTATATGTTAATATAAATATATTTATATAACAAAAATGTATTCCTGTAAATAGAATTAATAACATGAGTAAATGACAAAAAGCATATAAAACGTTGTTAATATTGGAATGATTTTTCTCAAAATTAACAATATAACACAATATTAATTTAGAATATGTCTTGAATTCAAGTTCTGGTAATTATAACATGCAATAATTCATTATTAGCAGGCCTCTGTTTCATATATTAGTACTCATCTAAACATTAATGGGGCTCCCTTTTCAACACTAACTAAAGATCACGAGAAGATGTGTAAAGAGCTTCACAGAGGTCCTGGGCTTGTGCTGTCTTAGCGTTCGCTCAGGTGAGGAAGGCCATGGGTTCTGTCTGAAGGCCGGAACATACCAAAGTCCTTAAAAATGGTAGTTGTTATTCCCTGCTTAACGTTAAGCATTTAGGGGAATGGCAACAACTGGTTCACCCGTTGTCAGTATAATATGACCAGGCGGAATGCTGTGCTGGGTGCCTTCAGCATGGCATTTCAGTGAGATAGCATTATAAGTCAGCATCAGATCCTGGGCTTATATGCTCTCTTAGATTCCCTCGTAAGAAACAGCGAACATAACCCATGGAATTTCAAGGATGCAGGAAAATGGTCCAGGTACTTTTTTTTAGTTAGTGCTGATCAGGTATTCTCCTTCAACTAACGATCTTCTCTAATTTTCAAAGAAGATCTTACATGAGCTTCCATTTCCTATGAGATCCATGCGCAAGTCTCAGAGCTTTTAATTTAAGGGAGCCTAGCTGGCAAGCAAAACTGAAAACTTGTTTCATCAATTTCGTATGCGATAATAGAGCCAATTTAAGTAAGTTTTATCACTTAATCAAGAACATTTTAGTGAATATTGCAATAAAAAAATCTGGTCATTCTTGAAGTCTAAAATTGTTCCATCTAGGCTCTATATAATATATTCTAGAAGTCGGTGACATCATTTCATAATCAATTTTTCTGACGTCACAGTCGATCATATGACGAAAGTCCATTGCATGATGTATTCAATGGATAACACAGTAATCGGGTGATAAAATCAAGTCTGTAAAAATAGTAGGTATAACAACATGTTATTTACAAGTAGATGAACAGATTGCATAGCAATTACATAAATACTGAAAAGTATAAACATGTGGGTGCTTGGTGAACAAGCTACATAGGAAGGAACCGAATTAACAGGTTGTTCTTACAGTCGTGTAACAAGACAGGATAAATGCACGGCAAGACCAGGATTTGAACCCGAGACCCTCTGAACTCTAGACCGATGCTCTGAACAACTGAGCTATCTAGATCTGGTTGCCGACCATCGGTTCACTACATTCCTCCCTCCTTTTTCTAACTCTTTGTCCCTGAAGACACCACTATTTACAACTCAGGTATGGGTATCACCTTGTCAAGCATTCACACCCAGTACTTGAAACCATTCGGAACCAATTGAGCTTCCTGGTCAGAGGATCTTGACCCAGTCGGGTTCTGCTAAAAAGGTATGAACGCTTATCTACATGTAGACTATAACTAATACTATGTTTAAACAAGAGGCCCAGGGGCCTTAATTAATAACTTAATTGGTTGGGTTTTTTTTTAATTTTCAAACCTGCTAAATTCCGTACCAGTTTATCAAAGGAAATGTCAGCTGGATTCATTGTACGTCCAAGTAATGACCATTTTGTGTGAATAATTGTAGGATTATTCCTGAATCAGCTGCAGATTTCTTTTCCATTCCATCAATATTCACATTCCAAAATGATTATTGGATTACCGTATCCCAGCATCAAGTAAGTTTTACAGCATTCTGTTGAATAAATTTGTTCTCAAAGACTTTTCTCCTCAATAAAATTCCTCAGTGATATGGGTAGCTGGAATATTTATGGATCAAATGTAACTATCTGTGGTGTTTCCATGGATTATAGTTAGTTCATTATTAAACTTTATCAAATATATTTAAATGTACATACCTGTATATCCAGTAAAGTCATATATTGTAGGTAAGTTGTGGATTTGCTTCTTAAATTTGCTGGTGCTTAACTCTTTCACCACTGTAGACCATAATAGACTCATCCAGATCAATTGTATGGTATAGTCTACTACAGTTACCAAGGGGTGAAAGGGTTCAAGTTAATTCTGTTACCTATAGCTAGCTGTGACTGTCCATTATAAGGCCATTAGCTGTCCATTAATAATTTATTAAACACAATAATGGACAGCTAAGACTTGATAATGGACAGCTAAGACTTAATAATGGACAGGTAAGACTCAATAATGGACAGGTAAGACTCAATAATGGACAGGTAAGAGTTGATAATGGACAGCTACAGGTACAAAAATGTACCTTATTGTACATTCTACTATATAATGTATGATGAGAACAAAGGATGACGTCATAACTGTGTTTTAACTTATTATAAAATCTTTAAATATTTTGATCTCATAGATAATAAGATAAATGTGTCATAACCATGCACTGAAATAAGTAAAAGTGTATTAGGGGGAGGTCGCAGATCCAATACTTCAATTATGATGTCATAATAAAGTGGGCTATATGGCATTCATGACTGATATGAATGCACCGTAAATTTGGCTTGTTTATATATATAGTGACAATGCAACTAAGTGATGATACAAACACGGTAATATTGGACAATAATTAACTTATTTCTAATGTAATTTGCAACAAATAATTGTTATTTTATGGACTTTTGAGACTTGGACTGAAGTTGAAGACTATTCCATGAGCCTGAGATCTAGCCACTGAGTTGGTAAGTATATCATAGGCATTTAAAATCAGTATTAGAAAAGAATATATCAATAACATGAACTATGGTCTAAATACTTTTTGATTTTTCTTTTCACCGACAACATATATTCAAAATTATATTTAGTATTGTAAATAATTAAAAACACATATAAAGTGACTGAAATGAAAATTATTAATGTAAGGAAAAATAACAAAAATAATACCATTGTGTATTTTTGCAGTGTTTGTGTCTGAAGAAGTATATGAACATGTCATTATTTAAATGCGCTCCATCTGGCGGCAGTTTGAAGAAGATACATTCTGAATTACCAGATCATCGAAAATGAAAATTTCTGTCAGTAATCCACTATGTAAGATATTATAAAGAATTAAAAACCTTGACTTTGACATTAAAAGGAAAAATGCATTTTACCAGTTGCAGTTCATATGATCATGGCAAAAAATATTTCAAAAAACACAGTATTGGAGCTCATTGTAAATGTATAGGATGCATATTTTGTAGTAAGTTTGTCAAATGTTTGTTTTAAATCAACTCTATCACACCATTTTAATATGATTGTTGACATTTTCCTACCGATTCACACATGCATGTAGAACTGTTAAACCCCTATTTTCACTGGTCAATCCGTCTACGACACATCGACAGTTTCGTACTCGCATGCTTCCTCACTATACTGAACCTGTGCTCTGGGCTGCAGTGATGCCACGTCATCATAGGTTTGTTCGTCCAGCTGGGTGCTTTTTGTTGGTATTTCAGATAAGAGCCGCCCACTGTTGGAACCATACAGACTCTCCTCCGGGGCCGTACCCTTTGGTTTCTGGCCCCCTTTGGGTTCCAGCGTGTCATACATTTCATCATCATCGTCATCATTAATCGGGGGGAGTGGAATCTTATTTCCAGTCTTGTTTTCTTTTCCTGCTAATGTTAAGCTACCGTAATTTTCCACATGTATTTCCGATGATCTTTGACCGTGCGTTTTCCAGCTTCCAGACACTTTCTGTACATCAGAGTACATATCCTCTCTGGAAGATAAAACAGGCTGAATCTGGGGAACAGCTTCATCGTAAATATGATCGTCAAATGATGACCCCTTTCGCTGTAATGGTTTAGGCTCAAGACATTCTTTTTCCTGTTCTTTTGTTTTCTTATCCTTCTTTTTCCCAAAAAAAGGAAAACCTACTTTCTTATCTTCTTTTTTGTCCTTTTCCTTTTCTTCTTTTTTGTCCTTTTCCTTTTCCTCATTTTTCTTACTATATCTCTGTTTATCTGATGATTGTCTAGAAGCAATACTTGCAGATAATTCCTTCTGGAATTTATCTGTTTTAGCTGCCCCTTTGAGACTGGACCTTGAGCCAGCCTCTGAATTGTCAAGTTTACCTGCGGGACTACTTACAGGACGTTTTGACGATGTAGAGGTCCGGAGATTATCTGTGCTGATTTCTGTATCATCAGCTCTAGAATGTTGCTGCTGAAGTTTGAGGTTAAACTTTCGCTGGGTTTGTAAGTCTATAGCTTGGTCAACAGCTTTAGGATTACTAACTTTGAATGAGAACTCACCTTCCCCCGTCTCTGACCGCCGTCCAGCAGATATCATAAACAAACCAGTACTTTTTGCAGTTCCATATGACCGTATGTACTCATACATCCAACGGAAGAGCAAGGGGTTTTCTTTTGATGGATCTTCCAAATAGATGTTTGTCATGGTGACCAGTAGGCGATATGGCTTGTCTGCTTCAAGGCGTTTCTTTGTGGATGCCGGTGTTGGTTCTATTGTCACATCAAATGCAATGGCTGAAATAACAAACATAATTCAAAGTTAATATTTTACAAGGTCACACACTGGTATCTTTTCTATATTACAAGGTCACAAACTGCTACATGTATCTTTTCTATATTACAATGTCACACACCGCTATCTTTTCTATATTACAATGTCACACACCGCTATCTTTTCTATATTACAATGTCACACACCGCTATCTTTTCTATATTATAAGGGCACACGCATACACTGCTATCTTTTCTATATTATAAGGTCACACACCGCTATCTTCTCTATATTACAAGGTCGCACAGTGGTATCTTTTCTATATTACAAGGCCACACACTGGTATCTTTTCTATATTACAAGGTCACACACCGCTATCTTTTCTATATTATAAGGTCACACGCATACACTGCTATCTTTTCTATATTACAAGGTCACAAACTGCTACATGTATCTTTTCTATATTACAAGGTCACACACCGCTATCTTTTCTATATTACAAGGTCACGAACCGCTACCTTTTCTATATTACAAGGTCACACACTGCTATCTTTTCTATATTACAAGGTCACACACTGCTATCTTTTCTATTTTACAAGGTCACACACCGCTATCTTTTCTATATTACAAGGTCACACACCGCTACCTTTTCTATATTACAAGGTCACACACTGCTATCTTTTCTATATTACAAGGTCACACACTGCTATCTTTTCTATTTTACAAGGTCACACACCGCTATCTTTTCTATATTATAAGGTCACACACACACACTGCTATCTTTTCTATATTACAAGATCATACACGCTATCTTTTCTATATTACAAGGTCACACATTGGTATCTTTTCTATATAACAAGGTCACACACTGCTACCTTTTCTATATTATAAGGTCACACGCTGGTATCTTTTCTATATTACAAGGTCACACACCGCTATCTTTTCTATATTATAAGGTCACACGCTGGTATCTTTTCTATATTACAAGGTCACACACTGCTATCTTTTCTATTTTACAAGGTCACACACCGCTATCTTTTCTATATTACAAGGTCATACACCGCTACCTTTTCTATATTACAAGGTACACACTGCTACATGTATCTTTTTTATATTACAAGGTCCCACACCGCTATCTTTTCTATATTACAAGGTCACACACTGCTATATTTTCTATATTACAAGGTCACACATTGCTATCTTTTCTATATTACAAGGTCACACACTGCTATCTTTTCTATATTACAAAGTCACACACTCCTATCTTTTCTATATTACATTGGCAAGTGGCAATTAACATAAGACCCACATCTATTAGTTAAAAGTGGCGACAAACTCCGTTGTTGAATTAAATATACTTTTTGAAATCGTATCTTTTTGCATACAGTCAAACTTAATACTTATATGTGGGCACAAAAGTTCTTCATTATATAATTGTTATAGGAACGACTTAGAACTCCTATTAACATTGTGAAATGCACATTGAATGAGCTTCAACCAATTCGACTAGCAATAATGGCAAAATGCTAAATACCAATGTCAGCTGTCTAAATACGAACGCCAGCTGTCTAAATACTAATGTCAGCTAGCTGTCTAAATACCAATGTCAGCTGTCTCAATATCAATGTCAGCTGTCTAAATACCAATGTCAGTTGTCTAATGTCTTATAACAAAACAATAGTAGTTCAAGCGTCTGTCGTTTGTCATAAGTCTTAGGCAAATGCGCTATTTAGCAACACATCTTCTGAATTTGACATTCGATAAGGCCCAACAACAAAAATAGGTGATTCCGGTCACACTACCTACCCTTATTTCCTGTGCCCATCCTAAACTTTTTAAGACAATATTCAGAGAAGCACTGTTAAAGTCAAGATCATTACCTGCCTACCTACTCTTAATGTTTCCAACACGTTACAGGAAACACATGTAGTCTTTGTCTGGCCTAAGGGCACCTGCTCTAAGAAGAAAGCCCCAAATGGATTTTAAAAAATGTAACTTTAAATTAGAGTATATATATAGATTTCATAATTTCTGTAAGTTTTGTTAAACAAATTCAACCACAAAATGGTGCTGTTTAAACTTTACTGAACTTCAATAGCGAATTCAACTTTGGGAGTAGATTAAAGAGACCCCGTTTTCTCAGCTACAGTAGTCATGGGAAAATTGTTTGAGGAAAAAAAGTGTCTAAATCATTAAAATAAAAGGCACACTGGTTGTCATTTCATCATTAAAATAAAAGGCACACTGGTTGTCATTTCATCGTTCCAGGTGCGTGGTCAAATACGACATTTGACAACAACAGAAATACAGTTTTTCTGTGAAAATAAATGAAAACATCAGTCTCAGAAAAATACTATTTAGCCCCTTGAATGTTCTTATTGTGATCAGGAGTATGATGTTTTGACTGATGACTTCTACCTGTGACCTTGACCTTTGAGATTTATACATGTATATACTGTGCTAGCTGATACCCAATGTGTCATCCACTTGAAATGCATACTAGGATGTTTCAGAGAAATCTACTTTGATGAGTCATTTAGACAATGCAAGTACTTTAATAAGCCTACTGAACCAGACGTATTTTCAATTCCGTTGATGAAACAGTTTGACATTTGAGGAAGTATTTACAAATATATATATACTGTACATCGTATGATGTAAATTGACACCAGGTACAAATGTACATGTCACAGTTGTGAACCATCTAGAACTCATTTGAAGGGAAAGAGGTCTCCAATGTGAGGCTAGACTATGTAAGAGGATGATCCCAGAGCACCCCAACCCTGGCATCCATCCCAAAGATGCTTGAGGAATGAAATACAATTTGAACCTAAAAATTAAATTGAAAAACTACTTAGTAAGGAGGATATATATTTGGCTATATTTTTCCATTACTTCCCAATATATGTTTCATTATTTAGCCACATTTCTGGTATTTTCACAAGAGTATTATATTTTTATATTCGCGTCCAGTGAAAACATTTTAAATTCAATTAAGGTTGAAAAGCATTGATAAAAGTAGGGAGGCAATTTTTGTTCTGTATAACATACATTACGTTCATGGTGATCATGATTTAGGATGAAATACACCAGGCCCTGGTGATCATGATTTTGGGTAAATAGACCAGGCCCTGGTGATCATGATTTAGGGTGAAATACACCAGGACCTGGTGATCATGATTTAGGATGAAATAGACCAGGCTCAGTTGATCATGATTGAGGGTAAATAGACCAGGCCCTGGTGATCATGATTTAGGGTGAAATACACCAGGACCTGGTGATCATGATTTAGGATGAAATACACAAGGCCCTGGTGATCATGATTGATGGTGAAATAGACCAGGCCCTGGTGATCTTGATTTTGGGTAAATAGACCAGGCCCTGGTAATCATGATTTAGAGTAAATAGACCAGGCCCTGGTGATCATAATTGAGGGTGAAATACACCAGGCCCTGGTGATCATGATTGAGGGAGAAATAGACCAGGCCCAGGTGATCATGATTTAGGGTGAAATACACCAGGCCCTGGTGATCATAATTTAGGTTGAAATAGCTAGACTAGACTCTGGTGATCATGATTTAGGATAAATAGACCAGGCCCTGGTGATCTTGATTTTGGGTAAATAGACCAGGCCCCGGTGATCATGAGTTAGAGTAAATAGACCAGGCTCTGGTGATCCTGATTTAGGGTGAAATAGACCAGGCTCTGGTGATCATGATTTATGGTAAATAGACCAGGCCCTGGTGATCATGATTTAGGGTGAAATAGACCAGGCCCTGGTGATCATGATTTAGGGTGAAATAGACCAGGCCCTGGTGATCATGATTTAAGGTGAAATAGACCAGGCCCTGGTGATCATGATTTAGGGTGAAATAGACCAGGCCCTGGTTATCATGATTTAAGGTGAAATAGACCAGGCCCTGGTGATCATGATTTAGGGTGAAATAGACCAGGCTCAGTTGATCATGATTGAGGGTAAATAGACCAGGCCCTGGTGATCTTGATTTGGGGTGTACATATGTACCTTCTGATTGGTCAATTCCAAAAGTGATATTTTCTTGGTGTGTACTTTTTTATTGGTCAATTCCAAAAGTGATATTTTCATTTTGTATACTTTCTGATTGGTCAATTCAAAAGTGATATTTTCATTTCGTATACTTTCTGATTGGTCAATTCAAAAGTGATATTTTCATATTGTGTAATTTCTGATTGGTCAATTCCAAAAGTGATATTTTCACATTGTAATTTTTTTACCTGTCACAATTTGAAACAGATGTCACTTTATCAAGTTGACAGAATTCGATATTTCACTGGCAAAAATGTTATAAGTTCTTGTACTACTCACTGTCTTCTGAAGACTCGTACAGCATATTTGCTTTGAATGTTGATCCATCGTCATCCTCATCCCCGATGGTTGCACCAGACCCGCCGTCTGCTGATATGATTATAACATAATTGTGCAGAACAGTACTCCAGTCCTCCAGCTCAGCCTCACAATCAAAGCACAGAGTCAGTCTCTCTCTTTTCATGTGAATATCTATGTAAAAGTCTTTACTGCTGGACTTATTCACGGTGTCGATACTTTTTACTTGTCTCAATGGGTGGGACTTCTTGTGCTTGGAATTCTTTTTTGCTTCATCTTGATTTTCATAAAATTCTAAAAGTGGCACTTCTTCACTTTGATTGTAAAAGACACACCATTTCTTCTGTTTTGTTCTCTGAAACATAACAAACCAGTTATCAGCTTTTATATCATAACATTTCTTATCTACTACCTGTATCTTGATTACAACTTTTCGATGATTTGACAAAATGAAGCACTGTAACTCAGATAGCCATACCAGTAACTACAATTGTAAGCCAAAGCTACGAC